AAAGACTGTAAAAATACTGTAGGATGTTCAGTTTTTATCATTTTTAAACTAAAAAAATTAAATTATATTTTAAATTAAAAATATATTACATGGACAGGGCCATTTTATTCACACGCAAAGCATTCTGGGTGAATGATGACGTGGATAGGTCCTTGGTGAGAGGCTGCAGGTTAATCTTGGACAATATCTGACGATTGACTATTGAAACCAGAGAGCGTTGACAGAGAGGAGAAGGTAGAAATGACTCAGTCTGTAACTGAAAATATAGATGGAGGACAACAGAGCTGCTTCATGGAAGAAGAACCTCTTCTATAAGCGGTACAGCTCCTGTCATGGCCTTCTAAGCTCCAAAACCAAAATTATTCCAAGGAAAGATTGAATGCACCTCCGACTTGATTGTTTAAAAAAACATGTTTTTTTCTAATAAAATATAGACAAAATAACAGCTGATAAATTTTTACAACTTACATGTAAACAAAGGTTTACTTAATCTGATCTTAAAAGTTCAATGGTCAAAAAAGTCATTTAAAAAAGCCGTGCTGTCGTCACACCGGACATTTTACAAAAAAATAAAATAAATGAATCATCTCCACCACACACCCCCATTTGTGTTCCTAACCTCGTAAATGGTAAACGGACTGAACTTATATAGCACTTTATCAAGCCCCACTGGACCCCAACACACTTTACGTTAACAATCATTCACCCATCAACACACAAATTCACACACTGGTGGTAAGCTACATTGTAGCCACAGCTGCCCTGGGGCACACTGACAGAGGTGGGGCTGCCATGCACCGGCGCCACAAGACCCTCTGACCACMATCAGTAGGCAAGGCGGGTGAATTGTCTTGCCCAAGGACACAACGATTGAGACGTTTGGAACTGGGGATCAAACCAGTAACCCTGCGGTTACAGGACAACTCCCCTAAACACTCTGCCACAGCCGCCCATTCTTAAATTAATTGGAGGGTCTAAAAGTTACCAAAGTACACAACGTTTCCAAATACAATAATTTTTTTCATATTTAGGTTTCTAAACTAACCTAACTACAGTATATTCTAACTGCCTAAAAAAAACTAAAATTGATAGTAGTTATGATTTACAAAAATTACACAAATGGCCTCAACAGCCCCTCTGACTGGATCAATCAAACATGCAACATGTTATATGCTGTTGTGACATTTTCAGATAACTAAAAGTAACAAGTAAGATTTTCTTTCAACTTGCATACATTTCTTCATCATGGAACTGACAAACATTTCACTGGAAATATAAACTGTAACACATTTAATGGAGTATTGATACCAATAATGTATGGATATTGTTATTGGTGTCGGGGCTATTTGTAAGAATACGAGCACTTGTAAAAATGCTAGTATTTGTACCGGAACGCCACGAATTTCAGTCGACTGTATCAAACTACAAAGTACCAGAACTCTCAGAAATGTGACTCTGTTCAATTTTCTGAATCCAGGAGTATTTAAAGATGTTTTCTCATGAGTTTGAGCCCAAACTGAAAAGCGTTTAATGTCAAAACAATTGCAAACATCCTTGGAACGCGCCCAAACTTGACAAAGAAAACCTAACGTTTTCTATATTTTTGTCATATGTAGATGTAAACACACATCAGTGACTGCACACTTGTGAGGCGCACGAACAGCTGAGGTGCATAAAATGCATGTGAGTTTTCTAAGAGGCACTTCCATTTTCACTAAGARGAAAGTTATTTGAGGACAACTCTTGATGATTTTTCAAGCCGACAAAGTGCAGACCATCACACATGGTCATCAACAACTGCATAAAATTGTGCGTAATTGTGTCGGCTTTATAAATCGAAACATTTTAGTTCATACACATTTTTCCAATTTGTTTCATATACCAGCTCTCAGTATGAAAGCTGCACACTCTTCGTTACGAGACCTTGGTGCTGTTAACAGTTAGTAAGGCGTTGTCTTTCAAACTTGTAATATCGGTATCTGCAGCGAGTGTGGAGAAGTAGTGGTAGAGATAAACTCAAATACTCGAACCTGACCCCCCCCCCCCCCCCCCCCCCCCCCTTGCCTGTTGCAGCTCAGAAGAACACGCACTATCTGCTGGTGTTTGATGGCTTTGTTGTCCTGGTTTGCATCACATCTACCGCTCTGTGCACTCGTTCCATCACGCTAGCTGTCAAGTTACTGCAGGTCAGTATAAATCTTTTATGAACAATTTYTACTTTGCATACAGTTTTTAAGGTTTGCAGACCTTTTTCCGTTGTTTTTTTTTAAACAATGAAACAAATGTCCTGATGCATCTCAGTAATCCAGGTAAAAAATCAAAAAGAAAAAAAATTGTATAGGTCCTCTGGACGGGTTCTTCTCTAATGAAACATTTCGTCTCTCCTCCAAGAGACTTCTTCAGTCTGAGAGTTTCAGGCAAAATTCAGGCTTTTAAGCCCAGCCTCCATGTGACATCACATGGCTATCGTTGACACCTAATTAACACTTATTGTTAACGGGGTGGAGTGATACTGGCAATATC